ACTTAAGGGGGACTATAGCCTTATACGGAGTCGGAATTAGGGTCAGTGCACCCAAAACTTATAACCAACTAAACGTTGTTGGGACTTGGCGGGAAACTTCAAGGCAGAAGCGCAAGCTTTCCATTTCTGCATCGGGCGAAACAGCCAAAGTTTCGAATGCAGTCACCTGTCATGTAGCTGACCGCGGGAACTCCTTACACACGACAAAGATGTGAGGGTCCAAAGTACGAACAGGGGTAGGTTAGAACACTTTATCCCTATATATAAAAACTTAGTTTAAATAGGCCCCCCAAACCTTCCCCAGTGAAGGATCGCTACCCGCAGCCCTTCCAACAGTTCCGTGACACTGACAAAAGACCTCGCCGCATCAACTCCTTAAATCCCAAACCTTCGAGCTTCACCCTTATGTTTCGGTAAGTCAACTGTACTATAGTCTAAGCTCCTTGAAGGGGGTAACATAAGGGACTACTACAAGGGATATTGGTTAGTAAACAAACTGTGGCCCATGCTGAACCCTAAACCCTAAACCCTGAACCCCTAAACCCTGAACCCCTAAGCCCTAAACCCTGAACCCTAAACCCTAAGCCCTTGGTACAGGAACCCGATTTGGAGGAGGAGCTTGAACGCGTGATGGAAGAAGAGTTGGGTGCAGAGGTTCGCTGCGTGCATTGCCGGTTGCAAGCCCTGCTGAGACTGTGTGGGATTTAGAGTTTAGGGTTTAGGGGGGGCCCTGAATCCTAAACCCTAAACCCAAATCACGTGCAGCTATAATGATCCCAACTTTTACTCGCAAACCCAGCTACTTACCCTTTTCAGGGACCAGATGCATGTGCTCAAAATTCACATCTTGGGTTTAGGGTTTAGGGTGTAGGGTTTGGGGTTTAGGGTTTAGGGTCTAGGGTTTAGAGTTATAGCGTTTAGGGTTTAGGAACACACGTAGTTTCCCAAAACTAAGGTCCCCCATTTATACCCCAACGCAGTATAATCTTTGTTATGGGGACCCGCCAAAATGTATCCCTCATTTCGAGAAACCTTAATCAAACTCCATATAACTCTTGTAAGCCCCATTACTTAAAAGGTACCCCTCATTTTGGGAAGCCCTACACCCTATAGAACCCATACAAGCCCCATTAATTAAAAGGTACCCCTCACTTCCGGCAACCTTCGCATGGCCCCACTAAAAGCTGTCCAGGAGGCTCTCACTGCACCCTTTTACAGCCTTGGACCATCTAGGCAAGTCTGTTAACCCTGGGCTTAGAGCCTAGGGCTACCCCTATATTAAACCCTAAACCCTAAACCCCAAAGGTTGGATACTGCCCCCACTCAGTAACAGTTGGATAGTAATTCTAATATGGCTATATATAGCCCTTAACAGGACCCCTAATATAGACTGTTACTGGGTGGGGGCAGTACCCAACCTAAAGGTTACCTTAACCCTAAACCCTAAACCCTAAACCCTAAGTCCCCAAGGTAACCCATAACTCTGTATGAGCCGACATTGCATGGGCCAGGAAGATGACGCAGAGCCAGCAGAAGAGCCCGAGCTCCGCACTCCATCCAAAGAGGCCGCCCAAACCCCCAAACCCCTAAACCCCGAAACCCTAAATCCTAAGGGTTTAGGGTTTGGGGTTCGGGGTTTAGGGTTTGGGGCTTAGGGTTTGGGGGTTTGGGGTTTGGGGCTTAGGGTTTAGGGTTTGGGTCCTAGGGTTTAGGTTGGGTACTGCCCCCCACCCAGTAACAGTCTGTATAAAGGGTGCTATTAAGGGCTATATATAACCATAGTATATTAATTATCCAACTGTTAGTGAGGGGGGTCAGTACCCAACCTAAACCTTACACGAGACCCAATGAAAGGTTTTGCAAAGATTGCTCTACGCTACTGTGGCTTTGACAGGAGCATGGAAGGGATGTTCCTGTAGGCAGAGAGCCCAATGCACTTTCAATAAGGAACATACCCTAAAAGATCTTAGGATCCTTATTATGATTTAAGGTATACTCATTATTAAAGGGGTATGGGGCTCCCTGGGTATGGGGCAGGTGTGTATACTCCTTGACGGAGTACATGTGAGACCCCGGAAGAAAAATGTGAACACACAAGAAGCCTTGGTCATCACAGTCTTTTCTGTGCTGTCCTTAGTTTAGGGTTTAGGGTTTAACTTAGCAATTATTTTTTCCTTTTTGTTAGAGTATAACCCTAAGGAATATTAGTTCTCAGGAGACTACAGTTTTAGGTAGGGAAGCAGTCATCGGACAGCTAGGTGTTTCGGTAACTTGCAAGATTGGCAGCCATGCGGTTTAGGGTTTAGGGTTTGGGGTTTGGGGTTTAGGGGTAGACTGGACCAGACCATGAAATTGAATGATAGCAGTGAGATCCGGACAAGACTGTCATTGCGAGAACAAGCCAGCTGGGTGGTTCTCAAAATTATGGGCCCCTCTGGGTTGTAGGTTATGTTACGGCACCTCATATCTATGGGTACCAAAATGGGACCCCAATTTTGGGAATTACCCAGGTATCCAGAAGAGGATTAGCACAAATGCCAAACAGCAGAACATGCCAGTAAGGTAGAGGAGGATGAACAATCGTCATATGTTGGGGCGCAGACTATATATCCAGTAGGGAATATGGGAACATATTGCGGTATACAAAGGAAAGGAAATGAAAATGGAAACTACTACATCATAATCGGGTATATATTGCAATCCCAATTCCTGCAACAAGCTCTGCACAGCAGGCTGATAACTGATCCCTAAACCCTAAACCCAACCCTAGGTAATAGGAATAATGGGCTTAGGGTTTAGGGTTAGTACTACGAGTAATCTTAGTATTAATACTGTAGTAGTACTAATAGTAATACTATTACTCGTTTTCTGCAGAGTCCCCAGCTACTGTGGCGCTTCATGCACCCCAAGTCCTGCCGCGCTGTAGGCCCAAAGAGCCTGAACATCAGAGCTTGCCCCTGAACCCTGAAAACCTAGACCCTAAACCCCATACAAGCCGATTTTTACATACCCATATCTTCCTAGTTGCCATTTCGTTTTGCATATTCTTTTGCATTTGATTCTCCACTGTTCCAATGGATCTCTAAATTCTATTAGGGTAATCCCTAGCCCATATATGACCCCATAGCATTGGCAGCTCTTCCCGTAAATCCCAAAAACCTAAACCCTAAGCCCAAGCCCTAAACCCTCAACGCCCTAAACCCTAAGCCCTAAACGCTGTTCTTAAATCCTGGTACCCCAAATCTTACACCTAAATCCTAATTCCCTACCCCTTGATCCTAATACCCTAAACCCTACCCCTAAATCCCAATACTTTAATCACTAACCTCACCCCTGCCTGAACCCCAAATTCCAAACCCTAAAAATACTTCATCCCTAAACCCTAAACCCTAAACCCTAATACCCTAAACCCCTTAAGAGGCGCGGGGTCCACCTCCCGACAGGGTCACCCCACCGAAAGCCAGTCCACCCAAACCCAAGGACTGCTTGGAGGGTCAGGGGGACTTAGTAAGTTTAGGGTTTAGGGTTTCGGGTCAGGGGACTTAGGAAGTTTAGGGTTTGGGGTTTAGAGTTTCGGGTCAGGGGGACTTAGCTAGTAGGTTAATAATGGGAATAATTTGGGTTAGTATATGGGTTATAGGGGTTATCAACCTATTTATTAAGCTCCCACAAACCCAAGGACTGGGCTTTGAGTTTTGGGATTTAAAGGTTTAGGGTGTTTAAGGAATTAAGGTATAGGGTTTACGGTTTTTAAGGTCTCAGGGTGTAGGGTTTGGGGGTCTAAGGGTTAAGAGATTTGAAGGTGTTATGGATTTAGGTTTGGGGGTTGCAAGGGTTTAGGGTTTAGGGAGTTTCAGGTTTCAGGGTTTTAGACTTTAGGGTTCGGGGTTGATAGGATTTAGGATTTAGGGTTTTAGGTGTAGGGTTCCAGGGTTTTTAAGTTTTTTGGGTTTAGGGTTCGGGGTTTCGGGTTTAGGGTTTGGGGTACCAAGAATGGTAACGAACGCGGAACTATTGTATGTTCTAGGGACTAGGTGGTTTGTCGTGTATGACTCAAACGACTGCAAGAGTAGTGCTGTTCTGGATCAGCAGCCCCATGGTGGAGAAACAAATGGAAAAGAACATGGAAGACGAAATTGCAGGGGGTCTGGGCGCTGGCGTTGTCACAGTCAGTTCAGCCTACTTAGATGGGGGTTTACCAAAATTATCTGTCCCTCTTCAAAGCCTCCTATGCAAGGACAGTCAGCTTTTCAGGGCATGTAAGAGCCCGCCCCCATGCAGCCTCATCAGGGGACTCCTCATAGGTTTTTAATCCTAGGATGGATTCGCAGGAGGTCTGATTGTTTAGGGTGTAAGGTTTTAGGGTTTAGGGTTTCGGGTTTAAGTTTAAGCAGTGGACAAGCAATGGAATCAGGGTTCGCTTCGCGGTCTGGGTTCTCTGAAGGCAAGCCAGGATCCTTGACGTTAAGTTTTGTGGGGAAGCACAAAGTCCTGAAATTTGCAGTACTTCGGTCTGGGCCAAAGAGAAGGAGTATGAGCATCGCATATATAGACGTGCGCGATTCCTCAGTTCGTTCGCGTGGCACGGATGGAAAGGACTGTTTTCATGAGGGTGAATTCTATTAGAAATTTGATTCTCCTATGCGAAATTTGCGATGTCCGGATATGTGGCTTGAAGCGGAAGGGTGTTTTGTGTGTCGACACTAGCAAACGCAGAATGTACTGTAAAACGCATGGGAAACAGACATGTGCGTTTTGGACACTGCAGACTCTAATCTGTCGACCCAAAGCGGGTTCTTGAAAGCCTGCGCCGAGCACGCATCGTGCACCGGCCATGAAACATCGGCCAACTTTCTTCTGAAAATGCCAAAATCCTTTTTGAACGTGATTGAGTGTGTAGTGGAAAGAGCACAGTGCTGAGAGTCGGGCTTTTTTCTTGATTCGTCAGGTCACATGCTTTCACAACCCCTCATTTGGCCCGAAAGTCTTCGCAGAATAAAAAAACTGTGCAAATCTAGCGCGGTTTTTCTTGGACAGTTCCGCGGAGACCATCGGGCCAAATGAGAGGTCGCGGAGCATGTGACCTGACACAAAAAGGAAAATGCACCATTATCAGCAGTGTGCTTTTTTCGGCCAAACATCGGCATTTTCAGAAGCAAGTTGGCTGGCGCTTTGTCGTCAAGCTAGGCCTTCCACAAGCGTTTGTTACGAACGGCACTACCTGCCCCCCCCCCCCGATACGACCTCCCCCAGCCCCCGCCCCCAGCCCAAACCCCGGAGCTGAGCAGAAACAGCCGCGGTCGCCAACAGCTCATTAGTCGGAGAATCTAGGACACAGAGCGTCAAAGTTTTGGACTCAGTTCAGGGAGCAAAGTGCTTAGTTCCGCGGAGAATCAAAATGATCAGCAGAAGCCATGGAGAATCTAAGAAGATGTGTAAGGGCCATATGTGGGGCCTAAGTCTGAGCACAATAAGAGTGACCTCACTAGTGGTTTTAACAGTTTAACAGAAAGTATACGATCAAAGTTGGATGTATTCCGGTTTTTGTGATTGTCTGAAGTTAGTCTGAACTTTGAAGTGAATCGACACAAGGGCTCAGGGGTGAAGATCGGAGGGTTACTTGTTAGTGCATGTTGTTTGGTTGTTCGGTTACATACTTACCCTAAACCCTCGAACCCTGAAGCCTAGAACCTTAACACTTAAGCCTAAGCCTTTAGCGGCTTACCCGTCCCATCCCATAATTCACCCATTTTTTTCCATTTGTTTCTCCTTCATGAACTCTAGGGGCCAAAGCCCTATATGACCAATGTAACATTAGTGTGTCAAAAGTATACCCTACACCCTACATACCTCAATCACAAGCACTACAGTAAGCCCCTATACCCTAAGCCCCAAACCCTAGACACCTAAACCCTAGAACCCTGATCCTCTTAAGCCCTCAGCGCCAAGAGCGCTAGAGTGAGGGCTTTCTGAGGAATTTCCACCACCTTTCCATGGTTTGGTTCACGAATCATGGGCCCCTTAACATCCTTATACGGGTTGTCCAAGGTTACATAAGGGGTACATAACGGTTGTATGGGGTTACGTGGTCTCAAATTAGGTTCCCGTTTTGGGGGTACCTAGCGTAAGGACTGGAGTCTATTGGGGTATATGTTATACCCTGCCTGTCATTTCATTTTCCAGTGGTGTTAATTCTCAGTATATTACTCCATATTGGTACCCCATAAAGAGATGCTGTTCCCTGACCTGTGGGTCAACAAGTGTGCGAGTATGATTCTTGAAGGGGGGTGTTTCGGTCGCCCGGGCTTTTTTAGGTAAAGGAGCAGTGACCACTGAAATTTCCTCAGACCTTAAACAAGATGACATGCCAGGACCCGGATGCTGATGAAACCCGTCCTGGGCTTAATTTCAAATGCAAGTTTCCAGCAAATTGTGCGTTCTTAGAGGTTGCAAGGGTTGATGATGGGGTAGTAGGGCTTAGGGTCTAGGGTTTAGGGAATAGGGATTAGGTTTAGGTATCAGGGAGTAGGGTTTAGAGTTTTGGGATTTAGGTCTGGGATTTGGG